TCTGTGTATGCATGTATATTTGCTCTATTTCTATGTATGCTATCTTAAGAAATCATATTTAAATTAGCAGTTAAGAAGTTTCAGAGACAAAAATGTTCATTGAAAATTACTTAGGTATAGTCTTCAATAATCATCCTTAATTTAAATTAATTATAACTGAAATGGGCTCAAAAGAAACTACTGCTTTATACCATGTTCAGAGAAAGATAATGTTAACAAAAGTAAGCTAACTGAATTAGGCTGAAAAATAACAAACTGAAAGAATAAGAAATTTTTAAAAAAGTGAATGTCCCACAAATAGAGTATGTAGTCCATGAGGCAGAGGAATTGCTATAACAGTGCCTCGTGTGAGAGCCTACAGTAACCTGGTAACATGAATCATTATGATTGTTTAATTCTTCTTGCTTAACCATGTCTTATTAAGGCATCTATAGGGGTGAACCATCTTGCTCAGAAATGCAAGTGCTTCAGGTCATTGGATAGTTATATTTTCCTTATCATTCTATTATCGAGATTGTAATTTGTATGCCATTCTCTTCTAATTATTATAATCCAGTGGCACTCTACTTCATGACCTGTGGATGCATTGATAAAAATGAAATTTCTAGGTTTTTAGTGTCAAATTTAGAACACATTTGCATTAGATCTTAGAACTTGGTTATATCCTTAATTGACTGACTTGGTGTCTCATCGCTGAACTTTCATGGGTTATGTAACAACAAGCATGAACATGAACCTGAAAATGTTCTTCCTCAAACTTCACTTAATGTTTCATGTGAATCAGTAAGCTTTCCAAGGAAAGGATACAATCATTAATACTTTTAAGAATAAAATGTAATTTAACAAAGTTGTTTTCAAAGTGTTTGGTAAATTTGGAGAAATATAAAGAAAGAATATATAAATACTGCACAGGAACACGAAATACTCATTTATAAATCAATATGTAAATAATTTTTTAAAAACTATAATTATTTATAAGTAATGGATTAATAATGGCAATAAAGATAAATTTTTTAAACATTGGCTATATATGTCAGATGGTGTGTTAAAATGTATAAAATTGAATTTCAGAGAGTTATTAGTAACTATAAGGAACTGAGCCTTAGGAAGAGTTGTGATTTTTGAGGTTAAAAACAGGGTCTCTTCATATAATTGTTCTCATTGCACGCTACATGCTATGTAAGGGTTACAGTCACATCATAGATATATGCTAATTTATGTAATAGCTCAAGGCCAGGACAGAAGAGTTTTGGTTTCCACGCTAAACACTTGAGCAGCCAGAGAAAATTCTTTCTTTAATGAAGTCCTATTGGCTTTTATGGTCTGTGCACACTCAGGTAAAATCTCAATCTCTCTTTCTCTCTCTCTCTCTCTCTCTCTCTCTCAGACACATACACACAGACATATTGGCATACATACCTTTTTAAAACTTTAACACTTTGGTTAAAACTTAGTCATACTGTTATAATATATAGTTTTTTTAAAATAAATATTTTTCCTATTTGATTATAGTAGTGATATATATTAAATACGAACAATTAAAAAATGCAGTGGAAATAATAAAACATGCCCATTACCCATATATCATTTTCCTCTTTTCCTCTCTCTCTCTCTTCCTTTCATTGTTCACTTATGAACTCAAAATCAAAACAAAAGAAACAAAAATACAAACCCTGTGCACAACTTGGTTTACTTACCTCATTGTAAATAATATTATTGGTTAAAACAAAGAAGATATTTTGTATATCTTTTATCTTACACGACATACAATTTAACAGAGGCTCTGCTTCCTCTGCTTCCCAAAGGACCTCCTTCCTGAGCTCCCCACACTCAATTTGGGATCAGGGCACGTAATCCCATTCAAGCAAAATTGTCAGGATTGATAATGCATTAAACTATAGCAAAATATCAATCCTAATGCTCTCTCGAGTGGGCAGCAGGGAGACCATAAACTATAAATCTATTAGGATTAGGTTTTTTAATTTTCTGTTAGCTAAATTATGACTTTTTAATAAAATACCATCAATCTCAATTACTAATGCTTGCTTAGACAAATCATCATCCAACAAGTGAAATGTCCATAATGAAATAGGCCATATACAAATTTATTACTGAATCTAAAAACTTATCTCAGCAATTTGAATGAGAAATATAAAACAATTTAAATCTTAGCCAAAGTTTTCAAGCAAAAATTTTGTTATAAAATATTAAAAATAATAATTAAACAATAGATTTTTCTTAGAAACAGTTTCACATATTTGGATAATACTAGAATATTCTATTTTAAGGTAAAGTATTTATAAAATAAAGTTTTTATTTGTTTTTCTTTCCAACTCCTTATACCCAAATAAGAAAATAAATAGAAAAGCAAAAGGAAACTGTTCTTAATTAAAAGTCCAGAAGAATCTTATTCTTTAATAAAAGTCTAGACTATTATACTCATTGCCTTAGGGTCATTTCAGTTTTTCTCCTTCATGTTTTTCAATGAATGTAAATCAGTTGCCAACTATCAAAAAGGGTTAATCCAACCAGTGTATTATCTATGTCAAAAGCGTTTTCATTTTTATCTTTTCTTGCATGTTTCTAACCTTATTTTGACTATAGCCATTATCTTCATTTAATCTAACCTGCATCCTCAAGCATTCGGACAAAAATAATCGTTCAAGAAATTAATATTACACATTTAGTCAAGTGTTATTTTGTGTGTTAACCATGCTTCGCCTAGTCCTGCCTTTATTCCTGCAGAGTATGAGTTTGCAATTTTATACGGATTAAAGAAAAAATGATAACTATGAAAGCCATTTTCATGAACAATACAATAAAAGTGATGTCAAAGTCCCTGACTGAGGGGAGCCAGAGAGAAGTAAAGACCTAGAAGAGGCCTAAGGGCAAAGAATCATTACTGCCACTGGGGCCACCTCTGAAGATGCTAGTATAGAAGGAAAACTGAAAAGCATATAAAGTTAAGAAATCTCTGTAAAACGCTATACAAAATTTACATTTCTCTGCCATAGTTTCTATCCATCAGTTTTCCTATATTGAGTCTCTTACCTCCAGGAGAGAACTGAGATAACTTTCTAACTGTGATTATAAACAAAAGCATCCATGAGTACAGTACATTATGGGGAAGCTTGACTGTAAACTATCACTCGGCAGGTGTGAAGTTCCATGCTGCTTCAGAAAGTAGATTATGTGATGGCTAACAGTGACCTGATAATCTTATTTTGGAGGCTATGCAAGCACATTTCAAAAAAAATAAAGAAGAGCTAGAATGAGATTAAGAAAACCAATGTATAACATCACAGGTTCAAATAGGAGTGAGCTCCTCTGATAGCTAAAATTGCATTGCTAACAAGTACAGGGTTTGTGAATGTCTAATGTTAGCAAAGAAACTGAATCCTTCCCTGCCTGCTCCATGTGAGCACTAAATATGCATAAAATATAGAATGCCTTATGACATAAATATCAGCATGCTGATTTGTCATCTATTCTTGGGGCACAATTTAAAATGCATTATTTTAATATAAAGTCATGTTCTTTTAAGTTTCATTGATTTTTCGTTTGTTTCAAAGCAACAGTCACATTATTTTTTATTGTTACATTTTTAAATTTGTTGTTAGGCTGGAGAGTCATAATCTCCATAAATGTCAATGACAAGAACATTAAATTTAAATGCACTTGAAGTAAATACTGTGCTAATTAGCAGAACTTTTCAAGGGATTAGGCTGTTGAAAGTAGTTGCTATTGTGAATTACTCTACAAATTCCCAACTACAGAGGACTTAGAATATCTTAATATGTGCAGAATTTGAACACTGTTTTGGTTAAAGGAAATTTAATTCATTTATCTTCAGATCATTCAATTTAGCCAAGTAAAGCATTAACAAAATTCTCAATCTTTGATGCCATTAAGAGCAACTAGATAACAAGGCAATAAAGGTGAAGAGATGGTTACTTGCCTGTGTACCTTGAATCTTGGACAAATGTCGAGTAAGAAGAATGAAAATTAAAAGAGAGAGAGAGAGAGAGAGAGAGAGAGAAGAAAGAAAGAAAGAAAGAAAGAAAGAAAGAAAGAAAGAAAGAAAGAAAGAAAG